GAGTTCGGCCCTTTTGATTTTCTGACTCCAACTCCTTGTACATTTCATTGTAATATTTTGCTTTGTCATCCCATGCTGCCTTTTGAAATCTTCTATTCAACTCTTTAGTATCTTGAATTCTTCCCTGTGCTGTGGCTTCTCTGCGCTCCAGTGCAATTTTCAGAATAACTTTTAGTCTCCGATATTTCAGATTTGGGGGGATGAATTTACCGTTTAGACAGAAACCCAGACTCTGAAAGGATGATGCTCAATTTTCTGAAGAAGAAAACTATTCAGAGGCAATTGCTGTTGTTATTGTTATCTGCTGTTGAACAGGCCACTTCCTTACTTTGAGTTCATGGACAATGGAATGAAATACCATCTAGTCCTCTATTACCCCATAGTTATTTGCAGATAAGACCCTTATGATCCATTGAATTTTCACTGGCTGATTTCCAGAAATATATTGTCAGTCCTTTCTTCTCTTTAAAACATAGCCAGAGAAGGAAAGACCCTCCCACCTCCTCTCCCTGCTTTAAGTTCCTCCTAGAGCAGATCAGGGAGCCCCAGAATTCTCTGCATAGGGAGAGTGTAAGGTTTCAACCTGGACTTGCTTCAGTTTCCTTTGTCTAAATTTCTTGAGTCAGCAGCCCAAGAACTCAGGCTGGCAAATTATCTGAGGGAGGGTGGAAGGAGTATCTTCTTACTCATCTAGTAAAACAGATTACAATGCACCTTTGTACTGAACACAAGGTAAAATTCCAGCCAAGGACTTTGCAGAGAAGAGACAAATCATAAGCCTGTGCTATGGGTAGCCAAGAGGACTCTCCACTCATCCCTGGCACCAAGTTTATCTGCAGAGGTGATCCAAAGTTGCCAGAGGTAATGGCAGACATGGACCACCATGTTTCAGCTCCAAGGCTCTGGGCTGTAGAGTTGAGTAACTAAAAAAAAGCATAAAAAGGAGAGTTTCCCTAAGCTATGGCCTATAATACCTGTTAATCTTGCTAGAGATAAAAGGAAAGGAGTCTCCAGGGTTGGGGTGGACTTCAGTACCATCAATAAATAATTACTAGGAATGTCCCTTTTGGATGCAGGCATCTGTGTGACGAAGCTTCCTGAAACTAGGAGAGATCCACAAACAGGCAGATCTTTAGGGGCAGCTGGCCTATGGATGCTGAAAGAAACAAGGATTTTCTGCCACAACCAACAGAGACCAGACCTTCCTTCCCTTAGAGCTGACACCATAAATTGGGACTCCAACCTTCCTAAACTGTAAGAAAATAAATTTTTATTTGCTAGAGCCATCCCCTTTTATCACTATTACAGCATTAGATGATGTCTTCTTTTGATCCTAATTTCCTCTGGCATGATGTCTTTCTCCAGGGATAACATGGCTAATGTGCATGAGACAAAAATTTCATCATCATTGCTTCTAAGGAGCAATCTGGCTCCACTACTTCTAAAACAGATGTTTGGTCTTTTGGAAGTATATTCAATATTCTTTGCCAACACCACAATTCAAAGGCACAAATTTTTCTTCAATCTCCTTTAGTCACTGTCCAACTTTCACATTGTATATGAAGCAATTTCAAATACCAGGGCTTACTTTAGGCACAGCTTAGTTTTTCAAGTGACATCAGTCTTCAATACATCATTTGATTTCTGACTATTGCTTCCATGGTTGTTGATTATAGATCTAAGTAAAATTAAACCCAGTTTTTTCTGTTTAATATAATTTTTACTGTTTCAGTTTGTGAGGACTTTTATTGAAGTGTAATTTCATAATGACCACTACTTACCAAAGTATAATGTAAAATATTGTCTTTGTGATATGAGAAGTGATTGTTCACAATCTTGGAGAGTTAACAGGGAAGAGAAGGGAGGAAAAAATTAATAAACTCTAGCATAGACACATGAAAAAACTCCCTACTTCTTTAGAAATCATTCTGTTCAAGTCCTTAAATACCATTGGGAAGGAAAAATTACACTGAGTGGTTGGTTGTTGTTACATACCATCAAGTTGGAACCAACTCAAAGCTGATCCTCCGGTAGGTTTTCAGAGGCAGTAACTCACACAGGAGGAGACTGCCTATCTTTCTCCAGTAGAGCAATTGGTGGATTTAAACTGCGTTCCTTCAGGTCTACAGCACAGCGCCCTTACCACTGGGCCACTACAGAGCTCTGAGTGCTTGATTATGAAAGACAAAAAATCTTTGTGAACAGACATCTAAGGTGCAATTATTGTTTTCTCTCCATCTGTAATAAAGAAGGTAGAAAAAAGGATGGAGAGAAACAATTATTAAAAAAACAGACTACTGGAAGCTTCACAGCCCTGAGAACTATACTGGCCAGGGCCAGTGCTGGTCGTTCTAAAAGTGGGATGTCCCAGGCAGACTGGGCAAAAAAATGTGGAACAAAATTAAAATCCATAAAAACAGTCAGGCTTGCAAGTCCAACACACTGGTGGACTCCCTACTAAAACTTTACTACCTTCCCATCTGAAAAGGGTCACTGGGAGTTGTACTCAACTCAGTATCACCAAACAACAACAATCAGAAACAAAACTCAGTCCTGTGGCTTAATTTTCACCCCTAAAGTAGATAGGGTTAGAAAGGGAACAGCAACACCAGGGAAGTACTCCTTCAGTACAATCAACAGTACACTACCACAGGGGAGCATCTGCTCAGGGATAAGGCTCAGAAGGCAGGAAGGAGTAAGATAGAAGGGTTAATGGAAATGAGAACCACAGAAAGGAAATGGAGTGTGGTCACATTAGGATATTGTAATTAATGCCAGAAAATAAGACTTACACAATTGAATAGAAAACCAGTTTGTTTTATTAACTTCCACCCAACTCCCAATTGAAAAAGAAAAAAAAAATGCGTCCAGAATGCTCTTTAAAGATGAGGACTCCACCTAATGTACTTCTTCAGGTATGTTAATGAAGAGAGACCAGCCCAAGAAGGACAGTATGCTTGGAAAGCAGGTCAGCCACAAAAGAGTAAGATCTTCAATGAAAAGGAGCTGCAAGGATGGGTTCAAACATGGCAACAACTGTGAGGATGGCGTAAAACCAGGCAGTGTTTCTGCTGTGCACAGAGCTGCTCTGAGTTGGAGTCAAGACAGTGGCACCTAAAATTCCATAACCTAATTCTGGAAATCCAAACAGGTCTTTGTTATTCTTTAAAGTGCTCCTCCTCATTTGTACCTTCTATTTTCTCTTTCCCTTTCCCCAAATGCTGTACTTTGGAAGCAGGAGTGGCATCCACTTCCTAAACAACATGCTTTCGGAAACTCTATGAGCTTTGATAAATGTCCATAGCTATAGAAAGGCTTCAGGCCTTTTGTTCATAGGGTCACTATGAGTCGTGCTCAACTTGAAGGCAATCAACAACAACATACTTTATTTAGACTTTTAACATGTTAAAAACCTCATTGCAAACAAGTAGAAACGGATTCATAGTTGACCCTCCAATGGGTTTTCAGAGGCCGTAAAATGGCACAGAAGATTACTCATCTTTTCTCTGCAGAGAAACTGGTAGACTTGAACTGGTCACCTTTGGGTTGGCAGCACAATGCTCTATGCACTACACCACCAAGAAATGCTTGTGATTGTTGAATGTAAGAGTATGTCTCCCTTTGCAATCCAGCTTCTATGGCAGGCTTCAGAACAGCTACCATTCATGACATATAGGCAGGAAGGAACAGGATGGAAAATGTAGTGCAATGAAAGAAAAATGAAAAGTAATGGCAATTGTTATGAACTGGTGAACACAACTTGACAGATTTTCTGTTTTACAATAGTCAAACTTCTGTATTTCAATATTAAAACTTAAAATAAATATTAGACCAAATTGTTTTTGTTAGGTTGGCAGTAAGAGAGGTCAGACTCTACATCTGATTCATTTGACAGAGTATGGCATACGGCAGGGACTCTATGTTGTTGACTAAGACATTTTCCCACTCGTTTTTTTTCTACCCATCAGACTGAAACAACTGATAAAAGGGAAAGGCACATACACGACATGTCATGTTAGTTGTTTCAGTGTTACTTTCTGTTTCTCTAAAATTAGACTCAACAGCATGAAGGCAAAGATCATGTTCTTCATCAAATTAAGTATTCACCATGCTGCCTGATACATGGAAAAAGTCTCAGAAAGACATGCTGTTGTTGAGCCAATGATTGACTAAATGAAGACCTGATCAAATAATCTGTAGATTAAGAATTTAGTTTTAAGGGGAGCTCTGGTGGCCTAGTGGCAAGGAGCTGCAACTACAATCCCAGAGGCACACGGTTCGAATCCACCAGATGCTCTGCCGGGAAAAGGAGGGACAATCTCCTCCTGTACCAGTCAGATCTGATTTGACGGTACACTCACATAAAAAAAAAAAAAAATAAAATAAAAAAATTTAGTTTTAAAATGTAAATGTCCACATAATCAGTTCAGTTTTTAAATTTAATCCGTTTTGGTACACTGATCCAAGGTATGGGGAAAGGGAGTACCTTTAACTCAGTTTCTTGTTTTACATGGCGAAACAGAACAATACGGATGGCACTACGAAAATTCTTTATAGAAGTTGGGCCCAAATACATGGTGGCTATCTGATTCTCAACCCCAGTTCCAAAGACGAGCCCCAAATTTTACACCTTCCAGCCTCATTGCTTAAGATTTCTTTCTCCCTGCAATGATTTCTCTGGGTGCTGGTTTCTGCAGGACTGTCTTCTGGGGATAGGTGATTTGGGGTCTCAGCGGTGGGTACTGGCTTGCTCTTTCTTTTTCCGTAGCTCCTCCCGCCGCTTTGTCTGCTGTTCACTCATGCAGTCCTTGAAAGCCTGAACTTGTGGCTGGCACTGCCGCCAGTCCTGGTGCTGGGCCATGCACTCCTGCAGGGCATAGTGGGAAGCAGCACAGCCAGAGCGGGAGATCAGCTGGTCCACTGGGTCCTCTTCTTCATCCTCCTTCTTCACCTGTCGAGTCCAGCTATGGCCTTGAGGGACTGAGGCTGACATCTTGGAGAATTTCTAGAATATCAAGATAGGCAAAGTTTATGCAAGGACATGGCATATATACTATTGCTGTTATGTACCCTCAATTCAGAACCTACTCACAACTGACTCTCCAGCAGATTTTCAGAGGCTATAAATTGTATAGGAAGAGATTATCCATCTATTTCCCACACAGCATTTGGTGAATTCAAACCCTTGTTTTTGGGTTGGCAGTAGAACTGCTTACCCACCAGACCACTAGAGCTCCAATGGTACATATGTATTTCCTTTACTGTAAGTAGCACCAACGGAACTGTGCTGTTATACCCTGCTCATGTGTCTACCTTCTGTAAGTCTGTTAGGATACTGGGTCTGATTTGCCTTGCTGTTCTCTATTGTCCAGCAGTAGGCATGGCAAAAAGAAAGCCTGCAAAATGGTTTAGGCTGAATGAGGTAAAGTGTAAGAAGTCTGGGCTAGCAAGCTCAATGACTTCTGCTAACAAAATTAAATAAAATTAAATGTCATTTTTTTTGGAGACACGATCTCTGATCCAACTCCAAAAAATTTCTTTTTCTCTCCTATTCCTCCAATGTTAGAGAGGAATGGAGTGTAGCACTTTAGTAAAACTTGAGAGATGGGAAGAATGAAGAGAATTCAGTGGAGCTGTTTTATACAGCATGTAAGGCTGGTGTAAGAAATACCGTGAGAAAGTGTTTTGTCAAATATATAACAACCCGAGGCATATTTATTGGTCCAGACTGTCTTCCTAAGATTGTTTGCTTTAGAGTACACAGCAGAAAGTAGCATACAAAAGGCACTTTTAAAAGTTTTAAAGAAAAATTACCTACTTAAGTCTTACCACAAATTTCACATGGAGGGCTGTTGTAAAGGAGCTAAAATAATTCTTTTCCTGTGTAAATAACTCATTCATTAAGGGAACTCTGGTAGCCTAGTGGCAAGAAGCTGTGCCACAATCCCAAAGGCATGAGGTTCAAATCCACCAGCTGCTCCACGGGAGAAGGATGGGCAGCCTCCTCCTGTGTGATGAATTGCCTCTGAAAACCCATCAGAGGGTCAGCTGTGGCTCAGTTCTGACTCAATGGTACAGAACAACAAATACCAATCACCTAATAGAATTATGCCAGAATTAAGGGCATAGGAGTGACCAGGACACAGGCAGTCCCTGCCCTCATGGAGTTTATAGTCTTGATAAGTAAGCATACAGGTTACTACACAGTGTATATAGATAGCTATATTGTTATTAGGTGCTGTTAAGTATGACTCATAGTGATCCTATGAACAATACAGAATTTCTGACACACTTGAGACCATTGCTCAATCTTGTTGAGGGAATTTCCCACATTGCTGACCCTCCACCTTTCCAAGCAGATGCCCTTCTGCAAGGAATAGCCTCTCCTAACAACATGCCAAAAGTATGTGAGATGAAGTTTTGTCATTCTTGCCTCCAAGGAGCATGCTGGCTGCACTTTCTCCAAGACATATCTGTTTGTTCTTTTCACAGTCCATGGGATGTTCAGTACAATGCTCCAACACAACAGCTCAAAAACATCAATTCTTCTGTCATTCTTAGTCACTGTCCAGTTTTCAGATGCATAGCAAGTAAGTGAAAAGGCAGTGGTCTGAATTAGGCACACTTTAGTCTTCAAACTGTTGTTGTTATGTGCCATCAAGCAACCTGCAACTCAAAGCGACTCCAGGCACAACAGAACTGAACCTTGCCCTATCTGAGCCAATCTTATTGTCTCTGACATACCTCCTTCCATTATCCCAGTTATTGTGTCAACCCATCACACCCAAAGTCTTCCTCTCTTGCGCTATCCCTCTACCCTTTCAGGCATGATGTCCTTTTCTTTTCTTTTTTTTTTTTAACAAATCCATAATTTTATTTGCTTTTCAGTAAGTTTAAATCCTCGAGGGATACAGCATAACACGGATTCTGTGTCCGATGGCCTTAGCAGGAAGGTTGCTCCGAAATTTGGCCCGAACCATGCCACTGTTTCCGTACGCACGAGTTACCTTTCCCCAGATTACTCTGGTTTTATTGGGTTTGCCACCAGGAGTCACCGTATTGTTTTTTGCTTTGTAAACATAAGCACATCTCGCATAAACACCTTCAATTTTAAGAAGAGCTGTGTGCTCCCTCTGGTTCCAGAGACCTCGTTTATAGCCAGCAAAAGTGGCTTTGCACCAAAGCCTCCCAGCCATCTTTGTGGTTCAGAAGTCCTGCTTCCAGGAGGCCACAATTATTTCACTCCAAAAACTTCAGACGTTGGAGGAGACAACCACCTTCACCGGCTCCAAGATGGCGGAAAAAGGAGCGACAAGGCCCACCGCATTGCCTTGTTATGATGTCCTTTTCAAAGCACCAGCGCCTCCTGGCAACATGCCCAAAGAGTATCGGATGTAGCTTCAAAATTCTTTCCTCTAGAGAGCAACTTGGTTTCACCTTCTACAGGAAAAAGTTGTTTATTCTCTTGTTAGTCAATGGAATGTTCAATACTCTTCTTCAGCACCACAACTCAATGGCATTAATTCTTTTTCTGTAATTCTTAGTCACTGTCCAATTCTCTCATGTGTAGCAAGTAACTGCAGAGACCATGGCCTGGATCAAGCACACCTTAAACTGACATTCCTGTTTTTTAGCACTCTGGAGAGATTCAGCAGATTTTCCTAATGCAACCTGTCTTTGATTTCCTGACTGTTGGTGCCAACAGAGTTGATTGTGGAGTTGAGTAAGCTGAAGCTGCTAATAATCTCAGTCTCCTCTTTATCTATCATGGTGCTGCCAATTGGCCCAGTGGTAAGAATCTTTGTCTTCTTGACGTTGAGCTTCAATCCATACTGAAGAGTATAGTCCTTGACTTTCTGCAGGAAATGCTTCAGACCTGCCTCAGGTTCAGCAAGCAAGGTTGTGTCATCTGCATAACGCAGACTGTTAATAAGTTTTCCTCCAATTCTGACGTCCCATTCCTCCTCATAAAGCCCAGCTTCCTAAATGGTATGTTCTACATATAGATTAAGAAGGTATGGAGACAGGATGCATGCCTGATTGCACTCCTGTCTCAGTTTTGAACCATGCAGTGTTTCCTTGCTCTCTGTTCTAACGAGTGCTCCCCGGTCCAAGTATAGGTTTTGCATGAGCACAATCAAATGCTCTGGGATTCCCATTCTTCTCAATATCAGCCACAATTCGTGATGATTCACACAGTCAAATGCCTTTGCACAGTCAATGAAAAATAGATATTCCTCTCGTACTCTCTCCTTTCAACCAAGATCACTGACTAAGAACAAATTCTGACTGGGCACCTAATCCAGACAAAAGTAGAAAAGGTAGGAAAGGCTTCCTGGAGAAGTATTTCTATGGGCAGACTTTTATGATAATATGATAAGAAGGAAGAACATTGCTGGAAAATGAAGAGCAAGTTCATACTGGAGGTTAAGAGCAGATTTTGGCACATGAAAAAAATTGAAAGTTCAATATTATGACTCTAGCAGAGATTAGAAGAGAACAGGGCAATAAAGGAAACTGGAGAGATGAGAAAGTGGGTGATCATGGCAAGACCTTGGAGGTCATGTTAAACAGTTTGATTTTTATTGCAGGGGCACAGAAGTCACAAGAGGGATATAAGCCTAACACCCTATACAAAACAAATTTGTTTTGGAAAGCACTGTATTGAAGATGGGGGCAAATGGGCTTAGGCTGCAAATTTAGCTTTGTCACTGACTCAATGAATCATCTTGGGAGACTAAATGAGATGATGTATATATGAAGCCTAGCATTTAATGATAAGTCTTACTATATACTATTCATACTTCTTATTCCTAAATATATTTTGAGTTTTTAAGGGCAAGAGGCAAACTCTAAAAGCATGCCTAGTAGGAAAGAAAGTACCCAGGATCCTAAGCCTTGGGATCTGGGTTCAAATGCAGTCATGCTTTATCATACAAGCTCACGTTTCTTGATGAATGAATCTGCAGAATGAACATGAGGATTAATATAGTACTGGGGGGGTGTATAACAATGAAATAATTTTTTTTCCTTTTTAAAGAGAAAAGCGAACTTGGGGGGACGGGTGGGCAGGGAGGAAAATGTACAGCAATGAATGAATGGAAATCCAAAGGCCCTATCAACTTTCATGAAAATTTCAAATAAAAAAAAAATATGGTACTAGAGGCAATTGCGGTTCAATAGTTAAATTCATTCCTTCCATGTGTGAGACCCAGTTGATTCCTAGCCAACGCACCTCGTCCAGGTGTCAGCCCTCAGTGTTGAACAAGATGCAGGGGAATGAGTGCTCAGATGAAAGGTCTGGCAAATTTATTCCAAAAACCAGCCAAAGAAAACCCTATGACCAAAAGGCAGATCTTGTGCATGAGTTCGCCACCAAGCAGATCAGCTTCACGGTAGCCAGAACAACAAAAGGGTAGTGAATGGAAAGCTGATGGGCTACATACAACTGGGAGTCAGTAAATGCTGCGGTGTTTCCCCCCACTCACTATATTTCAGTTTCCGATTCTCTAGGAGTGAAATAAAGACCTTCAGGGCAGGTGGTCAGCGGCTTATCGGGGAGGCAAGACTGATGTAGGAAGGTGTACAAATCAATGGAAAGCAGAAAACCTCGGGTTTTCAGAAAACCTCGCTTATGAAGCCTCCGCCTTTAAAAGAGGATACGCATGCGCGCGCAGGAACCCATCCCGGAGATCACGGCACGCCTACCCACGCAAGAACGCGGCCCACGGCGCTCCTTTGATAAGCTGGAGTCGAGTGCGTGCTGCCGCGTAGTGGCGTCAGTTTCGCAGCAGCAGTTCTGACAGCAATTGAAATTCTCCAGTCTCTCCTCCCAGGAACCGGTCACAGCCTGAGGAGCGCGTGCACGGAAGTACGGGCGGTAGGGTGGACTGACTGTATATTTTTATTGGAGAACTTTCCGTAAAGCCCGCCCTGAGCCTGCGCTACCTCCCCTTTGGCGCCCACTTCCGGAAAAGGGCGGGGTAGGCGGAAGAGGCGGGCTAGAGGCGGAGTCAAGATGGCGGCCCCTTTGAGGATTCAGAGCGACTGGGCGCAAGCCCTCAGGTGAATCCAGCCCCCGAACCCGGGAAGAGGAGGCGGTTGGTGAATATTGCCCTTTCGCCGAAAGAGCCCTGCCTACTCCACGATATTCATAGAGATTACCTCATCATTTGTGGAGGGAAGTGTATTCATCTTGTCTAGAAAAATCAAATCTCACACCTACGTTGTCGTTGTATTTTATTTTTTGAAAAGCTGTTCTGAAAGCAGGAAAATAGATGTGCATTAGGTGACTCCAGCGTCAGAACTAGGATCGATAAATTGGAAAAAGAACATCTGAGAGGCCAAAAGTCTTGGCCGCTTTCTCACTTTGGCACATATTTATTGGTCATCTGTTTATGGCATGACTGCCACCACGTGCTCTTTGAGTCATCATGTTGAAAAGCTTTCCATCATCCTCAACACCTTATATTAGCCGTGCTGGAAACAGTCCAACAATACCTACAAAGCCAGCTTCTTTATTAAATGCTCAGTGGAATTCACAACTACATTTTTAATTTAAGACACGATTTCTGTCGTGAAGAAGCAGATGATGTAATTTTGAATGTGGTGGTGTTTGTACTGTGTGATCAAGTTGCCTGCAATAGCTCTGACTGCCCTATCCTGAACCAGTCTCACCGTCTCCGACACACCCATTCCCAGTGATTGAGTCAATTCAGGGTATATTGAGGATATATTTAGTGATCATGCACTGTGCCAGTTATTCTAGGCACAGGATAAGTACTACAATGCAATAAATGGCAACTCTTCTCAAGAAGCTGACAGCATAATTGGATGTTCATCAAACCATTTGATTCACTTAACATTTATTTATTGATCACCCATAATTCTTCTAGGTATCAGGATGGTTATAGCAATAAATTCCAAATATTATCACTAATAAAATGCTTTTAAAAATTGGATCAGTGGTGAAGATTACTACGCTACATTGAAAACTAAGGAACTCATGAAATATACAAAATGGGTGACCATGGAGGATATTCTGCTAAGTGAAATATCTGTCACAAAAGGACAAATAACTTCCACTGTTGTAAAACGAGACTGACATCGCTGTTGACAGAAGACATTATGCATAATGCATTGAAACAGATGAGGGGGAGAATTGTATAAAAGGGATATATGATTAGGTATTATTGTCATGGCAGGAGTCCACAACGAAGGCTGCATAGTGGAGTGGACTGAAAAGGGATTGTGTAACAATGAAGGAATTTTACTTTTCAAAGAGAAGAGTTAAGTGGAGGGCGAAGTTGGGCAGGGAGAAAAGTGCAACAAAGAATGAATGGAAATCCATAGTCTCTAAACTTTTATTAAAATTAATAAAACATAGTATCCAATATCTAGAAATGTACACTTTACTAGATGGATTGAAATAAATTTAGAGGACTTATTACAAAATAGAATGTGTAATAGCAGAAGAACTCTAATATTTTTGAGTGAGACTCCAAGGCTGGAAGGGAATGTAGAATTAGAATCCAAGGAACTTTCCAAGATCATGCAGTTACTTAGTAATAGAGGTTTGCTGTGGATCTAGATTTTTCATAAAAGGCTAAATCCTTTCCATCATGCTTTAAACGTTTGAAGGTGAAGAGATCAGGATTTGGATGATTGAGGAAATATATGTAAAGAGCAGTGTGAGATGGTCGTTAGGAAAATGCACAAACCGTATCTTGTACCTGTATCCAGTTCCAATTCCTACCTCATAATCAGAGGACTTTGGGCAAATCACTTCTCTGAATCTTAGTTTTTCTATCTTTAACCTAAGGATAATAAAAGCTATTTTGCCCTTTTTCTGTGAATTATATGATATGCATAGTACCTAGCACAGGGCCTGCTTTAAAATCATCTTGGCAAGTATCTAAATGTTTACTTTGATTTTCAAAGCTAAACAGCAAGAACAGTAGATAAAGAAAGAATGTTCAACTTTTATGGGATAATCAGTGCCTTAATGTGAAGTTAGATTGGTTCTAAATATTATGTAACCTAGAGATGATATGACCTTCTTTCTCACCTTGTATCAGTGGCATCCTTTTCAACTTTGAGTGACCCTAATTAGGCTTTTGTCTCTCTTCATAGGAAAGATGAAGGGGAGGCCTGGCTAAGCTGTCATCCCCCAGGTAATGTTCATAAATCTCTATAACTCCTTTGAAAGAAGTATTCCAAAAGAAAGCTTCCTATTTTTCTTGACTAAACCTCCTTGCATAATGTTCCCCCTACTTGCTTAAACTAGGCTACTTTATTGAAGACATTCTGATTCTTTTATGCCAGGGAAAACCCTTCACATTGGTTGACTACTTGGAAGCCACAGATGTATTTAAGTAAAGATTCCCCATGCATCTCAATCATCTCTGTAATACAGTGTTGTAACGAACTAAAGAAATGATCCCTGAAAGTAAAAAGAAAATAAAATTTGTAAACAGTTCTACAAATTAAATTATACCCTACTTGTAGCTACAACTTTGACCTCTCTTCAGCTTCAAGCAGAGATCAAACAGTTGCCAGCTAAATAGTCATTTCTGCTTGAAGATCTCCCTGCCACCAAGTCTAAATGCCTAGTCCTTCTGTTACCAAATATGTTTTTCTTTCTTGATTTTCTCATTTATTAAAGTACTATCATTCTTTTAGACTTCAGAGTGAAGAACCTAAAGTTACTTTACCCTCTGATATCCAGGTAATTTCCCAAATCCTATTACTTATCCTTTGAAATGATTCCTTTCACATAAGATCAGTGAGTTCATATTACTGCTAGTGTGGTACCATGCTATTATGACTGTTAAAAATAATAATGAATAATATATTTGTGTAGTAATACTCAATTTTCATAGTAGTTTCTGATTACTCATGCTTTAGGTAGCATGATGAGTTAATCATATATTTCCTCTTTATGCTTGAGTTTTTTTTCTTTCCATTGAAGGTCTAGATGGCCTATGAAGTTTATCCTACCTCTCCATGTTTTTCCATAAGTGCTCCATTCTCATCTAGATCACCTCATGTAAATGACCCACTAATTTAATCATTTAGCAACACTTATTAAGCATCTGCTATGTGTCTAGGGACATATAGATAAAAGACAGTGTCTCTGTTCTCTAGAGACTTATGGCATGAGAGGAAGTTTGATGTATGATATATAAGTGAAACAAAGTGTTAGAGATCATCTGACAAGTATATGTAGCAGAAATTGTTAAATCTCTACAAGAGTCAGGTAAATAATGAAAATTACACTGATAATCAGTAGAGAAAAGAATACTGAAGGACTGTGCTCAATACAATAAAAAAAATAGGTAGATTAGATTCTTTTTGGTACCTGGTGAGTAGAGAATCAAAGACTTAAAATAACCTTCTTTTTTTAAATTTTTTTTTTTTTTAATAACCTTCTTTAGGTGAACTGCAGGCACTTTTGAGTATCTCTACAATAGAGTAAGGTGCTCTAATGGCTCCTTGTTCTACTGTAGGGAGTTATGCTTCCAACCCAAAAGCAGTGCATCTGACAATTTTAATCCACTAATGGCTTTTTGGGAAAAAGATGAACAGTCTCTTCTCATCCAGTTTACAACATGCTGAAAACTTGCTGGAGGGTCAGCTGTGACTCTCCTCCAACTCAATGGCAATGTTTCTAAAAGACTGAATGGATGGGAGCCACCCAAAGATAAGATTGAAGAGAGGCAGGAAAGCATTAGATCATAGAGGGCTTTGTGTGTTATGTTGAGAATTTGGGCTTTATTCTATTAACAATAGGAAATTAATGAAGATTTTAATATAAGGATGCAGCAGTCTTAGACTTAAGTTTGTTGGGTTTTTTTTTTTGGACTTAAGTTTTCTAACTTACTCTCGCCCCAAATATGGTTGATAGACTGGATACTGAGAGACTAATTAGGGTGACATTACAGTAATCTAGGTAAAGGACAATAAGGACTGACCCAAGGGGTGTAAAGAGAATATAAGAGAGCTAGTCAAATGCTGAAACATTTTATAAACTTAGTGAGAGTTTGAGGGTAAAGGAAGTCTTAGACATTCTTTAAGTTGACTTCTTGTGAGGTTAAGTGGATGATAATGCCATTCACTGCAGTGAAAGTAAACCAGCAGTTTTGTGGTTAGAGAAGTGACTTTCAATTTGAGTTACATTGAATTTTCATGTTTATGGGAAATCCGGTAAGTGCTTTCCATTAGGCATCATAAAGATATTTTCTTAGTTTTGAAAGTACACAAGCTTGCCCAGAAAACAGATCCTATCATCATTTTTCAAAGAGATAGAAAAAATAATCACCAACTTTGTATTGAATGTAAAGAGACCCTGGATAAGCAAAGTGAGATTGCAGAAGAAAAAGTAGGAGGCCTTATACTTCATGGTCTCTAAACTTACTACATGTTGTTGTTGTTGTTGTTCTTATGTGCCATTGAGTCGCTTGTGACTCATAGCGACCCTTTGCACAACAGCCCTAAACTCTGCTCTGTCTTCTGCCAATCGCACTGTCACTGACACTCCCATCCCGATAACCCCAGTCACCGAAACAATCCACCTCATAGAGGGCCTTCCCCTCCTGCGCCGTCCCTCCACCCTCCCAAGCATGATGTCCTTCTCCAAGGACCGGTCTCTCCTCATAACATATCCAAAGTATGTTAGACGGAGCCTCAGAATCCTTGCCTCCAAAGAGCCACCCGGTTTAACCCTTTCCAGGATGAATCTATTTGTTTTCCTAGCAGTCCATGGTACTCTCAATACTCTTCTCCAGCACCACAGCTCAAAGGCATCAATTCTTCTTCTGTCCTCCTTGGTCATTGTCCAACTCTCTGACACATAAAAAGTGATTGCAAAGACCATGGCCTGGATCAGACGCACCTTAGTCTCCAGAGAGACACCATTGCTCTTCAGTACTTTGGAGAGGTCCCTAACAGCAGACTTTCCCATGGCAGTGCGCCTTTTAATTTCCTGGCTACTGGTCCCAAGAGTGTTGACTGTGGAGCCAAGCAAACTAAAGCTGTGTACAATCTCAATCTCTTCACCATCCATCCTGATGCTTCCAATTGGTCCAGTGGTGAGAATCTTTGTCTTCTGACATTGAGCCTCAAGCCATATTGGAGGCAGCAGTCCTTCACCCTCTGTAGCAGGTGCTTCAGGTCGTCCTCATTTTCAGCAAGCAGGGTTGTGTCATCTGCGTAACACAGATTGTTGATAGGTCTTCCACCAATCTTGACCCCACATTTCTCTGCATAGAGCCCAGTCTCCCGGATGATCTGTTCTGCATACAGGTTGAAAAGGTATGGAGATAGGATGCATCCCTGGTGTACACCCTTCCCAATTTTGAACCATGCAGTGTTCCCTTGCTCTGTTCTAACAACTGCCTCCTGGCCCAAGTATAGGTTTCCCATTAGCACGATCAAGGGTTCTGGGATTCCCATTCTTCTCAGAGTCAGCCACAGTTTGTTATGATCCACACAGTCAAATGCCTTTGCATAATCAATGAAACACAGATAGACATTCCTCTGGTATTCTCTGCTTTCAGCTAAGATCCATCTAACATCAGCTACAATATCCCTAGTACCACGACCCCTTTTAAACCCAGCCTGGACTTCTGGCAGTTCTCTGCTGATGTGTAATCCTAAAACCTTAGTGTTATTACATCAACACATAGATAAATAAAATAGAATTGAGAACCCAGAAATAAATCCATCTACTTATAGAAAGCTTTTCTTTGACACAGAGCTGAAATTCATTAAGAGGAAGAAAAGACAAAAAAAAAAAAGAGTAAGAAAAGACAACCACTTTAACAAGTGGTACTGGCATAACTAGATATATATTTGCAGAAAATTAAAACAAGACCCATACTTCATACCTTTTATTATAAAAAATAAAATTAACCCAAGATGATTAAGGACCTAAGTGTAAAACCTAAAACTGTAAAGATCCAAAGAAAATTAGACTTTCAACTATAATTGAAAATGTACAGTTAGCAGAGGACAAACTAGATGATTGGAACCCCCTAAAAATTAAATCCTTATGTGTATCAAAAGACTTCTCAAAAAGTAAAAAAGAGAACATTGAAAAGAGAGAACAAGAACTTGAAAATGTAAATATCATTTTATTCAGCAGCTTCACTGCCAGGTGTACATCCGAAAGAATTAAGAGCTATGACAGCAGATATAGGCACACTCATATTCATTGCAGCATTATTTACAGTGGCATAGAGCTAGACAACCCAAGTGTCCATCACTGGAAGAATGGATGAAGAAATTAGTACATTTGCACAATGGAGTTCTATACAATATTAAAGAACAACAAAAAATTCTTAAAAACCCTGAAACATGGATGAATCTAGAGATCAGAATGCTCTAGAGTGAACTGAATCAGTCACAAAAGGACAAATGCTCTATAAGATCATCATTATAAAAAGCTAAGGGGAGGTTTACACACAGATTCCTTCTTGGATGGTTGCTAGGAATAGGAAGAGAGGGATAGGGAAGCAAAAATGAGAATGTGGATAATATGCTGTATTCACTGTCATCCAGTCAGAACTGTCTCACAGCTGACTTTCCATTGGATTTTTGGTAGACAGTAAATCACATGGAGGTATTACCCAATTTTCTCTTGCAGATCTGCAGGTGAATTTGAACTACCAGAGTAGTTGGGTTAGCAGCTCAGTTTCCTAAAGACTATGCCACCAGAGCTCTCTAAATAGATAATAGACACATATTAAGATGAAAGAAAGGAAAGGCAATATACAGTAAGGAGCTGATTACAATATCATTAAAGAAAAGACACAGAATAGTATAAAAGGATTAATGGAAATCAGAATTACAGGTAGGCTGTGGGGGAAGTATGATTACATTGTGAGTATTGTAGTTAATTTATAGAATGAAATGCATATGAATAGTTGAATGCAAAATTAATTTGTAAACAGTCACTGAAATCATAATAAATAAGAAAAACGGTATAAATTGCTGACTGGAAGATGAAATTGTTTTTTAAACAGTCACTCAGACCACACATACACGCACACGCACACACTGAAATGTAATAAAGAGATGAAGAAACATGGAAGTCGAGAGAAGCAGAAGAAATAATCTACTAGTAAAGGATGATTACAAAGTCAGCTAGAATTTGAAAATAAAGATGGCTGTT